AAACCAAGACAGCCCAATGGTTTAGACATACAGACCCACGTGCTCATCTCTGTATGAGGAAAGCCCAAGCCGCAATTTCCCAATGCTGAGGAAGGCACTTTTTGAAGGAAGCCCCATTAAAGAGGCATTGCGCAATGACTTACAGCAACCAAGAACGGAGCCATTAAGGCACTTCTGCGTTCGATGTTCAGGGTTCAGGGTTTAGGGTTTAGGGTTCAGCATTTTTTTGGGTTTAGGGTTTAGGGTTTAGGGTTTAGGGCTTAGGGGTGAGGCTTCTGCTTAAAGCTCCCAAGGGCTTCGGCGGGCGTTCAAGATGGGTTTGGGGGTTGAGCCAAGACACAGCTTCTCCAGGCGCTCGAAACGGTCCTTCCAGGGCAGCTCAAATTCTCACAGCCCTAAACCCTCAACCCCCTAAACCCCCTAAACCCCTAAACCCCTAAACCCCCTAAACCCCCTAAACCCCCCCCCCCCCCCCCCCCTAAACCCCCCCTAAACCTCCGCCTGAACCCCCCTAAACCCTGCTAAACCCTGTTGTGTACTGATGGCCCTAAACCCTAACTGCTAAACCCTAAACCCTAACCCCTAACCCTAAACACTGTTTGGTGCTTCGGTGAGCGCCCCGAAGATGACGGCTTGGAGACTTGGCTTTCATGGGAAACAAGGGGGGGGGGACTGCCGGGGTTCAGGGTTTAGGGTTTAGGGTTTAGGGTTTAGGGCTTAGGGTTTGGGAGCTTTGAAAGGGAAACTCTTGGTCTTACTGGTTTGCAGGGTTTGGTGCAGGGCTTTTCCGGGTTTTAGGAGGTTCAGATTTAGGGCTTCGGGCTGTTTGCCGGTTCTCCGGCCTCTTCGGCCGCCTCCTCCTCCTGGCTTGAGGGTTTAGGGTTTAGGGTTTAGGGTTTAGGGTTTTGGCTTTAGGGGTACCACAAAGGGGACCGTGAAGTGGGGAGAACTGCTCATCTACCAGCATCTTGAACTATTGCCAGAAACATGCACAAATCATGGAACCACCCATCCCTACACGCCCAACCCCCTATCCCCCTAAACCCTCTGCCCCCCGAACCCCTTCCCCCCCTAAACCCTAAACCCTAAACCCTAAACCCTAAACCCTAAACCCTAAACCCCAAACCCCAAACCCCATCACTGCCTCGGGCCAAGGTTGGGACAGGGCCGTCGAGCCACCGAAGCGCCGCACCGAGTCCACCTTTATATATGTATGTATGTATATATATATATATATAGTGCCATTGGGGTTTAGGTTTAGGGTTTAGGGTTTAGGGTTTAGGGTTTAGGGTTTAGGGTTTAGGGTTTAGGGTTTAGGGTATAGGGTTTAGGGTTTAGGGTTTAGGGTTGAGGGGTTTAGGGTCTTAGGGCTTAGGGTTGATGCTAGTCTTAGGGCTTTGCCGCTTTGCTTTTGGACTCAGGGTTCCAGGTTTGGGGCTCAAAGGCTTAGGGTTGGAGAGGTGTAGGTTGCTGAGTTGCAGGTTCTTATCATCATTATTATTATTTCCATTATTTTGCTATTTCTATTTTGATTTATTTTTGTTTTTGGGGAGGGGGGGGGTGGGGTGGGGGGGGGGGGGTTGCAAGGTTAGGACCTGTTGGGTGGGGGGGCCCAGAAAGAACTCTCGAAAGGCAAGATAATTTTGCTGCTCAAATCGTCAACCGAGACAATTAAAGCTCAGTCTCTGCTGATTCTTATTCTTATTCTTCTTCTCCTCCTCCTTCTCCTTCTTCAGACTTTTGTCTAGTTCATGCATTACGCTCACGCGCGAGCTCGCTAGCTTCGTTTAAGAATTCCTTCGAGAGCAGCTATCGGCGTTACGCGTTTTGCATGTCGTGCACGTGCAAACATATCGTTCGCCCCCGCTTCTTGACACAGGAACGGAGTGTACTACACACATGTTACGTCGGCTCTTCTTGTGTTTGGCACGGAAGCGCAGAATTTCGCAGCACAAGAGGAGGAGAGGGGCGAGCAGCGGTCGCAATCAATCAACATCCAGAAGCATCGGCTCATTGGTAAACCCTACACCCTAAACCCTAAACCCTAAACCCTAAACCCTAAAGCTGCCGACATAAGTCAGCCACACTCATCGGCATGCCGTCCCACCAAGCAATTGCAAGCTTACCCTGCCAAAAACAAAAAACATGCAAGCGCACCGCTGCGCAAACGGAAGCGCGCGCACAGACGCAAACTAAAGGCACAGCAACGCACGGAAAGAAACGAAAAAGCAACGACACGATCCAACAATTGCCCAAATGACAACCAAAACAAAACAAAACACGACACAACACAACAAAACACAACACACCACACCACAACACACTGCACACACATAAACAAAACCAACCGACCAACCAAACACACAAGCAAGCACCAAAGACAAACAATGAAACCCTTCAACTCAGCCCTGGGCTGTTGTGGGATGCGCCTTAGAGTTGCTTGGAGGTTCATGGCACTTATTAACCAAATATAACTGGACTGTACTTATATTTGGAGAATAATAACCATATTAGGGCACTTAAGGGGCTTATAAGTAGGTTATATGTGCAGCTATAACTGGTTACTAAGTACCATGAACCTCCAAGTGAGAGAGCACTCACGGGCAAAGGGTAGCATCTGGACTGCAGGTAAGTTAGCGAGGTGGGTGTTCTTTGACAGTGCAGGTTGAGGGTGAACTTCGACTGCAGAGCTCTGAGTTCATCGAAGAATCATGCTCAGGGCTTAAGCTGCTCGACAGCGGCTAAGAAGGGTTGGAGGCTTGACGGCACCTTGTTGTATTCCATTGTGAACGCCTGTGCAGTTTGCTGGCACTCAGAAGAACTCCCGCAGTCTACAACCCTAAACCCTAAACCCTAAACCCTAAACCATAAACCCTAAACCCCTACAGTTCATGGCATGCTGTGGCCTACTTCGCACGACGCACAAGTCGAGGTCGCAGCGTTGGCTGGCTCAAGCACTTGGATGCCGCCTGGTGGTACTGGTAGGGTTTAGGGTTTAGGGTTTAGGGTTTAGGGTTTAGGGTTTAGGGTTTAGGGTTTAGGGTTTAGGGTTTAGGGTTTAGGGTTTAGGGTCTAGGTTTGGGGTTTGGGGTTTGGGGTTTTTTGGGTTTGGGGTTTGGGGTTTGGGGTTTTTTGGGTTTGGGGTTCAGGGTTCAGGGTTTAGGGTTTAGGGTTTAGGGTTTACATTGTAAGAAGGTGGGTGAAGCTGAGCATAAAGATTGCGAGGGCTGCATGTATCCGAGCGTCTGCGACCCCCAAACCCCACCCGAAAGCCCCCACAGATCCCTGCAGCCTGGTTTCTTCCGAGCCTCGAGCCCTTCTTTTGCTGAGACCTGTGGCCCCTGGGTCCCCTTGGCCACCATCACTCTAAAAATCTGACGGGCCTAACATGCTCTTTCCTTGAGGTGTATGCTCGGGAATGAGGGAATCAGGGCCCTATATAATCCCTTAAAGGGTAGGGCCCTCATTCCCTCATTCCCTACTCAGAACAAGCCAGACGAAGTGGACAGAACAAACTGCAGGCTCACTGACAGGGGAGCCATGCATCGCTGTCCCTTGGAAGGCCTCATGACCCCTGAACCCCCGAAACTCCCGAGAAGCCCTGAGCCCTAACTCGCTAAACCCTAAACCCTAAGATCTAAACCCTAAACCCTAAACCCTAAACCCTAAACCCTAAACCCTAAACCCTAAGCCCTAAGCCCTAAGCCCTAAACCCTAAACCCTAAACTGCCTGCGAGGCCGATGTCGCCCTCATTGAACTCCAGGTTTCGGTCCTGTCTGTCACCGCCGAGGCTCCAGGCTCGAGGCGCTTAGGGCTTCGGGCAAACAGCAATCCTCCCTGGGTTTAGGGTTTAGGGTTTAGGGTTTAGGGTTCAGGGTTCAGGGTTCAGGGTTTAGAATTTCGGGTTTAGGGGTAAGGGTTCCGGGTTTAGGGTCCCAAAACCTGGGGTAGGGATGCCAGTCCCAGAGTCGAGAGCCCCTGAACATCCCAAAAGCCCTCTGGAAGCCCCTAAACCCTAAACCCTAAACCCTAAACCCTAAACCCTAAACCCTAAACCCTAAACTCCCCTTGGCAGCCCGAGGGCGAGCTCGAGGCCCTGAAGAAAGCGCGCCCAGCCTCGGATAGGGCGACCAAGGACCGGCTCTCCAAAAACAGGTTTGGGGTTTAGGGTTTAGGGTTTGGGGTTTAGGGTTTGGGGTTTAGGGTTTAGGGTTTAGGGTTGAGGGTTTAGGGTTTCGGGTTTAAGGTTTAGGGTTTAGGGTTTAGGGTTTAGGGTTTAGGCTTTAGGGTTTAGGGTTTAGGGGCTCTGACCAGGGACCAGCTCTCCACAACAGAACTCAAGTTGCCGAAAGGTTCTAAACCTTGGGGGTCCGCGGCTCAGAATCATGGGAAGCTTTCAAGTAAGAGGCGCAGTTGCCCTGCAGTCAGCCGTGCTTATACCACCTTTGAGCCTCCCAGCAATTCCTTAGCCTAAACCCTAAACCCTAGCGCTAAACCCTAAACCCTAGCGCTAAACCCTAAACCCTAAACCCTTCTTGAGGTGGCAGCTCGACTTGCGAAGCCCTTCCAGGGACGACCTGACAACAGGGCACATGGTGACATGAGGGTCTGAACCACGACCACCCGTTGCTTTAGAGTTGCCGCCTGCTTCGTTGGAGGTCGCAGATTCATTTTTCTGATCATCTCAGGCTCATATCGGAAAACCGACAAACGGCAGGAAAATTAGCAAAGGCACGCCTTTCGGGCTTTTTGGCAGCAGAAAGACAACGTCTCCCAAAATCATGGGTGATAGCACGAGCAAGACGGCAAACGGACGCTGCGTTTTCACGGTCTAGACTAGAGGCCTAAACTGCTTTCGCACACCACAAAAAAAGCACAACGACGTCAGGCTCAAGACCTTACATGCCTAGTCTGGGGAGGTTTCTAGACGGGCAAGTCGCACACACAATGTACCCGAGATCAGGTGAGCATGAACAAAAACCGCATTAAAACAGTAAAC